AAGATGCGAGTATGATCCTCCTCATCAGATGAGATGGTAACAAACAGAATGTCCTCGCGGTATTTCTTGGCAATCTCCTTCAATGGATCAACATGGGCCTCAATGTGGCCAGCCTCCTTGGACACGAAGAACAACAGATGCGATTTGATGGAGCCGCCGAAGATTTTGGATGCCGACTCATGGTTGAAGTCCACAATCAATGGCAGGGATTGCACCTGAGCGAATTTCTTAAGGCTCTCCTCACTCAGCTCGCCCTCGAACACCGATTTCTTCTCATCGAATGGCTTGAACAGCACGACACCATTGTCCTTGGATTCGTATTTGGCAATCACATCGGCATTGCTGCTGATACCAAAGACAAACGAGTCCAATGCGTTGGCGGCCTTAGTGAAGATCTTGGCCTCCGCCGACTCCACATCCTTGAAGAAGCCAATGATGGCAATTTCATTGTCCTTCAGGAACTGCTCGGCTTCGGCAACGCTGGTCAAATCCTTGGCTGGTGGGCCAGTCTTCTTGGTCACCCAGGCAATAATGTCAGCGGCCTGACGTCCACCATTGTACTCCACGGGCGAGCCACTGCGGAAGAACTTCAGCGTGGGATAGCCACGCACTTGGTACTGCTCGGCCAGCTCACCCTCAACGGTGGCATCGACCTTGGCCAGCTTAATGGGCGACTCCTTCTCTGCCAGCTGTTGGGCGGCCTTGGCATACTCGGGCGCCAGTGCCTTGCAATGACCACACCAGGGTGCATCTGCAACAAAAATTAAACAAATATTACAAAATAAGTAAATATTTCACACATTTATTCAAGTAAAAATAAATTGAAAATTGTTGATAAATAGTTTAGAGCGTGTCTAGTTTAACTATTACGATGCACTCTGAAACTAAACAGACCGTTAAATTTCAGTTTTTCAATGTAAGCTCAAGCAATTAATAAATCTATTATAAATAGCAAATATTTATGTAGATATGTAGAGTACTTCAGATACATATATCAATCTCGCTTAAGCGAAGCGTTCGCATGGAAAATCGAATTGTCGCAAATGTGTGGGTGTTGGGCGGGCGTGGTGGGGTATTTTTCACGCCAGATTTAACATGGAACAGCAGCTGTTGCATATTATGCAAATTCCACGTGTTGAGTTGTGAAGAGCTGCAATTTTATACGCATATGGCGGAACACAGAGAGAGAGAGAGAGGGAGAGAGATAAATATAGAAAGACAATGACATAATGCGAGTTGACAACGTCTTACACTCTCTTATCTGCGGCTTAAGCTGACGTGGCCTTGGTAAATGGTCAAATGAGCGTAAAAGTTGCACAGATAAGATTTGCAAGGTGAATCAGGGAGGCATTATCTGTTCGTGGTCAAGTATTGGATCTGCTGACGTTGCCAGATTTGTGCGTTTTTGAAACGTAGCGTAAACACACACACATGAACTGCTGGCATAAACAAACCGCAGACAGGGCCGCCGCCATATTGATGCATTGTACTGTTTAGCACGCGCTCAAAGCGCAACAACAATAAAAGCAACAGAAACAGAGAGCGAATACAAAATAAAGAGTTGAATGAACTTCTGCCGCTGCGCAGGCGCGATCGCATTAAGCAGCGGCGTACGGTGTTAAAAAGGGCAAGGCAGAATAGAAAGCAGCGCAAAAGAGACAGAGATTCTTGACGGAATAGCGGCGAAAAGTTGTTTAGCTAACCCAGTTTCAAGCGACAGTTGCCTGACAACTTTTTTCTATTCTAAAACCATATTGATGAAGCGGATGTAAGAAACTAAGCAGCGAGTAGGCGGAATATAGCCACGCCCGGAACAACGCAACAGAGTTGCATTGCCGTGTTGATAAAACTGAGACATATGGAAATAGAAACTGTTCCGACCTTATCTCGGTTTGAGGACGCCGCGCGGACCCAAGAAGCCAAAGATAAGAGCAGGAACGCAGCGTCAGCTTCAGCTGGCAAACACCAACCGCGCTGACCCTGTTGGGAAATGTGCCGAAGAATAATCTTCACTGATTATGATGACGCGCAACTTTTGCTTAGCACTTTAACATTTAAAAACTTACGCGCAACAAATGCCAGCACAGCTGTCGGCTCGCTTGCGCACAGGTGCTGGCACATTGCGTGCAAGAGGGATGGTCGTATGCAAGGAGAGAGTAACGACAAAAGTAATGAAAGATAGGCAAGGAGAGGGCAGAGCGCAAGCCAATATCCGCAAAATCATCGATATGCGATAAACGATTAAATGTGAAAACAAAAAAAATATATATACAAATGAATTTTCTCTCACAACTAAAACTTCTGTTCTCTTCCCGCCTTCACAAGCCAAAGGAAGCTTGCCAACTAGCAACAACAATCCGACTGGTGGCTAAACTGCCACGCAGACATATCTTGTTTCGGAGCATCACGCTGGGGGCTTGCTCACAAAAGACCACGTAGCCCCTTGGCGATTTTCATGAATCACCATGAAGCGGCAGCGGTTTAAGCGGCCGGTACGGCACATTTTATTTATGTAAATTATGTTGCAAATGAATACTCACAGAACTCGACGAGCACAAATTCGTTGTCAGCAATCACTTGTTTGAAATTGTCCACCGTCGCTACGATGACACCCTCCTCCAGTTTAATATCAGCGGCCGCCACGTAGGACGCCGCGAGTAGTGCACAGATTAGGAATTTCATCGCGGGCACTTAATATTAGTATATATAAATGCCTATTTGTAGGTAGAAGTCTATCACACAGACACACACTAGCGCAACTCTAAAGACAAAAAATGTCTACCGTACAAGTTGCAAGCCAAATTCCAAATGAAATCGTCTACGTCCAAGCGACAGAACATTGGCTCCAAATATGTATCGAGTTGTTCGGAATAAGTTCGATTACACGAATCACTGAACTAAAAGAACGACTGTGACTCATTTAGTTCATATATATTTTATGTTATGTTGTTGGCTTAACATTGCGCTGAACTGTTAACAATGGCGAAGAAAAGCTGCGATATTTGAATTAATTGTTCCTTTTTTTTCTATAAATACGGAAATCGTTGCGGCTGTATCGACATAAAACGCACTGTTCCTCTCGATTTAAGCAACAATACTACAAAACAATGCATGTACAATAAACCTGTCGGCACGTAGAAATTAAACAAAAATAGACTAATGTAATAAAAACGTATTATCTAGTACGTTATCTGTTTATATAAAATAACAAAAGGAGCTGAAGAGTATTGCCATGCATATACTATAGAATTCAAAATTCCTCATAACAATAAAGGTTTTTATAAGCTTGCAACTGTTCATACAAATAGTACACTGACAAAAAATACACTAATCGAATACTTTCACTGGGATCCACAGGCAGCTAATTGCTCTACACATTGCATAATTATTTTGGAAAGAATCTCTGATGTTTGCGCAGAGCTGAAAGGCTTGTCAATGGGCGGAACATGTACGAACAAGTCCGCTTGGAATCCACGTCTAAGGATTTTAAATAGATATAGCCGCAGAGGAAGCCGCCAGCATTTTTGGACGCCTTCGTGGCCTCCAGAGCCTTATTGTTGACTGTTCGCGCCGGGGCCACACACTCATCACAGGTTAGTTTACAGCCTCCACAATCTTATCAACGTTCAGGCCGCAGCGCAGAACATTTGCGTTTCCATTGTAAGGCAGGCAGCAAGTGCTTTTGCTGAGATATTGGCCCGCATTATCGGGTCGTCGAAACTGATGATTATAGGCGAGTTTCTCCACATAAACGCATTTGGCCACGCCAGAGACACCTACATGCACGACCAGCTGCGACGAATGTGGGGGAATGATGTCAGCGGCGCTCAATTAAATCGAATATATAAATGCTTGCCTCTGGCTGCCGCTGCCAAATTTTCTGTTTACTCTGCCTCATCTACGGCCGCATATTCCACTGGCACCATTATTTTCTCCAGCTGGTAGTCGGTGCCCTCGTAGCTAAGCAGCTCGGGCAGCAGTTGCACAGCCTCCCAGCTGGCGTTGACCTCTTCATGGCCCACGAACGGACCAAATCCAGTGACCACAATTAGTTTACGCTCCGTCGACGACATTGTAAACACTGCCGCCCACTACAGCAGAGGGTATTGCGCATACTTATGCATGCACATGTATGTGTGCTTGCCCGTCTACCCTTCCTCAGCTAACTTTCTTGGTAACCAGTGTTTGAAAATAGCAAATTAGGCACAGTACGGTGATAGCATACGACGGTCATCAAAATAATCAATGAACTCAAGCAAATAAACTGAAGCAAACGCTTCATTTACATAGGTAGGCATTTAATTACAAATAACTCGCTGGAACTCATTAATTCCCTTGTGTAGTTAGTGTTCGTAAACACAGCTGACACAGAGCAGTGCTGTACAATCTTGTGCTCACTGTCTCGCGGTACCAAAACCAACCCTGTCCAACAAGCGCATGCCAGCCCTGCTTGGGCGCAAATGCACAAAGAAACCCAGACAAGTGTTTTAGTGCTCAACAATATTAAACTGAAAGTTTAGTAAAAGCGAAGGACAAAACCAACAATGCTGGCCTAAAGAGAGAGACACTTAATATAAACCCCACATTACAACACATTCCGCACGCGCAAGCCGTGCATAAACACGACCAGGAAAAGGGCCGACGTATTCAAAGTTCCAAGCCGAAATCAATAAAAAATTTCTTGACACTTGGGGCCGGGCCGCACTGAAAATAAAAGCAGAAACAAACAACGGCATAGTTGTCATCAAACATTTTACGCAAAGAATTTGTGAGTATTTCGTCGGTGTTAGGCTAATCTAATCTGTTCTGACCAAAGTCACCGACGGGTTCGACTCACACTAAAATATTGAAACTTTGTACATTAAGTATTCATATTGCAGGGGCGGTTATATAGGCTGAACGCAGAGGCAGAGGGGAGGCAAGCAGGCACCTGTCGCGATTCCAAGAAGCGCCCCGATTAACTTAAAGGTTTTACTAGTGTGGAGGACAGGAGCCTCATCATGTTGTCGCGCCTGCAAGATTTTCTGACACGCCATCGACGTAAATTCGTTGTAACTGGGGTTCTGGTGGGAGGCACCATCTATGCGGCACGTTATGCGCAGCGCAAGCTCGTGGAGTATCAGGAGCGGCAGGCGCGCGAGTTCTTCGAACGTTCGCGACGTATGCACCATTTCGAGTCGACGGAACGTACCTGCAATCAGGTGATACTGGGCATGGGCGAGGAAATGTGCCAGGCGGTGTTACACGAGTGCAGCACGGACGAGCTGCTCGAGCAGCTGCGCCAGAACCCTACCAACAAACTGGAGCTGTGGGAGCAAATGAAAATTGTATCATTCACGCGGCTGGCTACCTTTGTGTATGCCTCCTCGATGCTGGTCATTGCGCTGCGTGTCCAGCTCAACCTGCTGGGTGGCTACATCTATCGGGATATTATGACGGAACAGCGGCAAATAACCGACGAACTAAAACAGCAATACTTGTCCCTGATACGCCACTTCATCACGCACGATGGCATCAGGGATCTGGCGCGATTTATACGCAGTCAAGTGGTGGAAGTGCTCAAGTCAATGCCGCTGACGCGTCAACTGACTTTGGCCGATACGGAGCAGATATCTGGTCACTGCAAATGTCCATCAATGGCGACACACGAAACGATCCCAACTCCAAGATGAGTAAGTACCTGCTGCCAGATCTAACCCGCCTGCAGGAGAGATTCAATTGCTCCCCGCTGCTGCAGCAGATGTACAACGAGACGCTTGATCTGCTCGAGAGTGAGGATTGCGTTGGCGTGTGTGCGCATAACGTGAGTCGCGGCTTTGTGCTCAGTTGTGATGCCATTGCGGAGTCCATGGGTGACACACTGCAACATTTGGCGCCCGGTGAGCTGCAGCAGCAGCAGCCCATTAATGGCCAGAGCAAACAGAGCAACACAAACAATCTGCTGGACGTTAATAGAGTGCTAGTCGCGCTGGCCAAACTAATACCCATTATCAGTGGACTTACATCGCACGGCTACGACAGCTCTGCGCGGCCACACAATCTGCCCACCCAGTTGCTTAGCTTCTATGTGGTATCCGAAATCGAAAATGTTGGGCGCGAATGTTTACGAGACCTTTAGCTCTGGCTAAGCTATAGCCACAATAGATATAAATAGTCTAAGCTAAAGACAATTGCAACTAAGATTA